AAGACCATATTCTAACTGAACTGGCATATCCCAGAATAAAGTTTGGCTTGCAATGTGCAAGAATGGAATGAAACCATAACACTGAAATTGACTGTTTCTGCTTTATACTTGATAAGAAAACATGACTTGAGGCGAGCGCTTTTTGTTGCTTGCAAATATAGCAAAAGTTTACACTTCTTATTTATATAAGACAGCAATGACCAATGTTCTTGTTATCTGCAGTGTGTTTTCATAGAGTACAAACACTTAGTGTGCAACAACTTTGCACCATTACAATAAAATTTGCATAATTTAGTGGTATTTATATTGCACATTTTTCGTGTTTGTACTCTAGTAAAATGCATGTATCTTTGAGGCAATACTCAGTGTACAAAAGTTTTAACTCTTATCGATATTTGAGTTTATTAAGAAATCTATTTATTGATCACTAATGTAAATTATTTGCGATGAAAATTGAAATGTTTAATCATTTTACATATACAAAGAGCAGTCTTTAGTGAGCAAATAGTGCAGATCTTTTTGGCAAAATGCTGTGAAATAATACCAGTTCAATAGGGAGCACTTAATTCTTGTTTTATATTATTTAACAGGATTTTGTAAACCACTCTTCACTAAAGAGAACAAGAGAATAAAGACACCATACTTGTACTCAAAAATAATTGTATTTTATGATAACTGTCTCCACCTTTGAATTTAGTTTTGAATTTATTTGATCAAAGGGGGTAGGAAATTTGACAATGCGCAAATAACTATGACTATGTCACTTGCATATGGTGCCATGGAAATAGGGATTCTTTTATCGATAATGTGCCAGTTCTTTATCCTCTCCATGAACCTCTCTACATGAACCTTTAAACTAGCTATAGTTTTGTTTTTGATGCTTTGATCTATGGTAAACTGGGTATCTTTCTTCAAATATTCAGGCATTGCCAGTGATACCCCAACTGATGCAAGCTCATCCTTGACATTAAAGCCTTTATCGGCCATTACTTCATCTCCATGTTGCAAAATGTCAAGAAAACCACTCATAACAGTGATCTCTTTATCAGAGGTGCTGCCTGGGAACAGCTCGCTAACAAATGCTGTCACGCCACTGGGTGTGATACCAATTAGACATTTCATAGTTGGCTTACTCTTATAAGATGAGTAACATGCTGACTGTAAATCTAAAGCACTGGGTTTCTCCATTTCAATCTCGGTACAGTCAACAATAATTGCAACTTTAGGAAACAGTTCTTTAAATTGCTTTGGACTGTGAAGAGTAATTACATCTCTTGGAGGTAGGTTGATAAGTGGCTCAAACTCTGAACGTAAAAGTCTCAGCCATGTCCTTACAATCAGAGATACTGATGAGTCTGAAATGAGAAAACGATGAGCTAGATCTTTCTCAAAAAGACCAAGTCTTATCCTCATTAAAACCATGACAAATTCCTGGAACA